AATTTTTCTCCTCATTACGGCCATCCTACGGGACATGTCAAGCGTTATCTATTTAACCCGTTATATACCACTTTGCTTCCATCGGCTGTTATGAACTACATGCTCACATGTCGTTAGGTAGGGATTTGAGTTTACCGACCTCGCAGAATTATGGGCTCTGCAGATACAACTACCGTAGGAAGGAACTGAGACGTTGCTTGCCTATATGCTGTGCTAGTCAAGTACCTTGGCTGGAGAAGAGACGGTGAAGTGTCCGGAGAAAGCTGCCAAACAACGATTGATTCCCATGTGTGAAGACACCACACGGCTGGGGTATTTACAGGCACAGTATACAAATTCAGCTGATGCGCGCCGACTTACGTGTCCGTCAATTGCCCTTACGTTGCGTCTGCACCAGTCCGCAGTGTGCAAACCGCCAGTCCATTGATGTCCAGCCGCCTATGAATGTGTGTACAGAACAGCCGATGCAAACTGCCGACAGTCCCGTCGCAGTTTCACTTGATTCAGGGACCATCAAGTCGGTGTATTGCATCAACCATGACGGTAAGCGACGCCTGTTGTGACAAAGCAGCGCCTACTCGCCTTCACAATCTTCTTAGCAACACTGGACAAAATAGGTGTCAAACAAGTTAGCTTGTGCTTGTCTACCTTGATGGGTTTTGCACGTTTCGGAATTGGCTTTGCCATTGACCATTTCCAATCCATCAGCAACGATCCTTTGGACAGCGACTTGAACCTGCCAGCCATAGCAGGCGATATGATGGCTGTTAAGGACTGAAGAATCCGTGGGTGGAGCACATCAGATTTGGGACGCTTGGTGCCGTCAATTTTGGCGATTAGTCCGCGCCCTTGCAGGTCATCTAGTGGCTTCAGGCGCCACTTTGTGTACACAAAGATTTCCTTCGTGGCTGTCTGCGGCGGTTGCAAGTTGTCGTTCGAAATGCTAACGCTTGCTAGTGTTCTCATTTTTGCAAATGCTTCGCTGCTTTTTATACACCTCTAAGTCCTCGACCGAGCTAGGGTGGATGATTTTGTCCCACAGTCTGCGCCACTGCCTTGCCAGTTACACATTGAGTTTCCTCCATTATTTATAGCAAACGAGCAAGCTTCAGCAGATGCAGATTTCGACAGAGACCAATCCACTTGGTTGGCGGCTCGAGCAAGGCCGTCGAAATGCATCTTTCCGTATTTATTAGCTGGCTGCAGTACATGGGATGGTTGCGCCGGTAGCTCCACATTGGCAATATGAACTGAGTGGTCGCTTGCTTCCTGTGGTTCCAGTATATGAATGTCACATTTGCTTAACATCAAGTCTGAACGCAATGCAGTTGAGCGCGATGTTATGCGCGTCGGTTGGCAGATGTGTTGTGCTGCCCCAGTTTCAGCTACCATTTCAGCGAGTTTTACTTTGACATCACAATATCCGGTGATACGTTGAACTCCAGGCCAGCGTACTCTAGGACAGTTGAAGTCACATATGAGTAGAAGATGGGGGCAATCCATGTCGTCCCGGAGATGCAGTAGCCAATCCAAATAACGGCTCAGGGGATTGCGAGGAAATGCACCCACGAGTAGCTCTCCTCATCTGAGGTGGATCGCGCACCACAACTTCTCAAGTAGGCTATCAATGGCGACCAAAGCAGTGCGCCGCGTGCAGCGTTGGTTCGTGTCTCTGCCTAGGAGCGTACCCAGCCCCTATTATTCGATCTTGATCGAGTTGCACGGGGCATGCGTTTGTATCGATAAATCGCTGGGGTGAGTTGATGGGGGACTAGTGGAGATTGTGATCGCTGCTGAAGCGCCTAACAATGTGCTTGACATCTTCCGGTTGTAATGTAACGGTACCGTTTCAAACCGGCTTATCACCACTCTTCAAACTTATAGAACAGGCAGTCCATGTGTTGGGTCGGTTCACCTATTTATGTCTGCGTCACTTCTGTTCAACGCATTATGGAAAAGGCAACCGCACGTATCGATAGTACTCACTTAACTTTTCAGAACTTACTTACGAGGACTGTGTTGCGTATGCCTGCCGGTTGAAGTACTGTCAATGTTACTGTATGAATTACGGATATGGCCACTTCGCGTTGAGGACACTTGTCCTCGCCGATCAGCGGCACGTTAGATGGACTGCTTATATCTAGTTGGAGCGCCGAGTGGGCGGTATTGAAGTCCGGAAACGTACTTTCTTTTGCCGCACTGTAGTACCCGTTGCACTCGAATCGTTTACTTTGACATAGCCACGCCCGTTGCATGTCGAGCAGTTGGCTATCCCTACGTGTACTGTTTACAAATATTGCCCCTAGTAGAGTGAGACTTTGAGGTGTGTCATTTGTGTGGTAACAAAACACGATCGACCACCTCAGCGGTTCAGTGCTCTGTCGGAGACGGCGTAACCACGAGGTCATCAGCACTCTTGAATCATCTTTTTATTTTTAACTTTGGCAGCTCCATCAGACGATTTTACACTTTTGTCCGTTCCTATTGAGTTAGATATTTTTGTTTCTTTTTATCAGCACTTCTTAGTAATACATCTGTCTTGATGACGTGAGTCAAGCTGACTTGCTCCCACGTGGCTCGGTGCTTCACAAAATTTGGGGGACAACTTTGTGCTTTGGTTACCACAAACATACGGTCGTGCGGACAATACTTGCCGTCATATTGAAAAAATATTGCTAGTGCTGATCTTGACACAAGGTTTCGGAAAACCATCACTAATTCAGTTTTATGTTGTTTTCTAAAGGAAGAAATATCCGGTCGGACGATAAAAATTATAACTTGCCGTCCAAATCAGATATCACTAGTATCTGTTTCATGAGGACATTCATCTGTCGAATTTGGTCTCAAGATATCAGTAGCCCTTTCAACACTGAGAAATGAATGTTTACTTTTACGAAACGACCGCCGACTGAATTTCACATCTGTCATTTGGTAGTCTTTTCCGCAATATCCGATCTTTTCACTATCACCATGTTATTGTTATTTTTCTGTGTGACACTTGGCAGCTGACCGCTGCACTGTTTCTAAGGCTATATGGCCATTCTTCATGGAATTGCGGTATATCATGAAACTATAGTGTAGCATTGGACGCGTTTGCAGCTTGTGTGTGAACGTTTTGAAGAAGAGCCCTATATTCTTACTAACGAATTACAGCATGTCCTGTGTTTACCGCCATGATCGCTCAAAGATGAGTTATCTCACTTAATTGATTGATGCAAGCATCTTGGATCTCCTCCCATACTCCTCACCCAGTTACACTTACGGATAGCCATGATGTCTGTAGAGGATTTATTTCACCCACGGCGAGATCCACCTCCTATCTATGATCTACTGAGTAGGCTGAAGCAGAGCGCAGCACGCTTCACCAGCTATTTGACATCCCGAATATGCAATGCTCTACTATGGGACCGGATCAACGCGTAGTCGATTCTCGCTATAACCGATAGACTACTTGAATCGCTCAATCCGTTCACATACTCAGGTAGATCTGTATCAGCACTGATGACCAATCTACCGACGATGTTGCGTGCATTTTTGTGGGGCTCACGTGGCTTCTGAAAGTTCAATCCTTCCTTGGAGGACAGCTACATATTGGCCTCCCACAAAGCGCATGCCCAGTGACCACACGTGGAACACAGAAAGGACCAGCATCCGGAGAAAATTATCATGGTGGGTCGGAACAACATGCAGTTGAGGTGTGTCCTAATTAGTGATGCCTGATATAGTTTGTATATGTTCTCCGTGCCAATGAACACCATTTCTGCACTACTCGGAGTTCTGCAATGCAATGCCGCGACTTTGCCAGTGTTGTATGCGACACACGAGTCTGCTGCAGAAATTCACAGACTTCGCTTTTAGTGTTTGGGAAAGCTTACTTATTTCTATGGAGAGCACTAACTTAGTACTACTGCGTAGTGTCATTTGGCGTTCGAACAGTTTACACTGCCTATCCCGTCTACCTTGGGTCTTTCTGGCGTGTGCTAACTACCTACAGCCGTATAAGCCTTTCATCAGGCTGGATGGAGGTAGTGGGTTGTCACTCGGTAGCATGCCAATAGAGCATAAAGAACCTGGCCGCGGTTATCATCCAAACCGATGGCTTCTTAGCTGATAACATCAGTGCTTAGTCCCTCTCTTTGGTATTTGTCGGTGGTCGAAGGGATTACGCGCGTGCTTTCTGCTCCTGAGGTTGTCTGTTCGAATCCTCGTGGATGCTGGTGACCTCGTGACATACCCAGACGTTGCGTGACTAGTGGTAATTGCGTGGCAGCGAAGTGTCTGTACCGTCTGCCGGCGTACTGCTGATGCTTTTTTGGGCTTGGGTCTGACCGGATTAATAGTCAGTGAAAACTGAACGTCTTGGGATATCCGGTGTCGCTACAGGCCAGAATGCCTTTACTAATGCATCGGGAAGAGTTTAAGTTTTTTCATCTAAGAAGGCGCCTCCTGGTCGATCAGTGGACACCATTGTTAGGATGATGAAGGGCTTCGAAATTTGTTACAAAAGGTGCCTTGCATTTGTGTGCATTTGTGTATCTCAAGTCTACTGTCGAGCAGGGATCGGGCGCAGTGGACGAATGCACTGAGAAATCGATAGTGTGAATTTCGACGGAAGCATACACTCTCTTCGGTGTTGTGAAGCCTTGAGGTCAATGGCCCTACTCAATTTTATATCTGAATTCTAACTATACTTCTATTCATTCAGTCAATCTGAAATTTGATTTCCTTAATCATTCTTATTCGCCATCTTACTTCGCTTTATCAGCCGTTCCCATGTCAGCTGAACCCACTTCAATCTTGTGGTTTGGATCATAGTTGATTGACTGCACTGCTCATACTCTATACGTTGGTTTCTCAACCTCATCACCAACGGCGCACTCTGCTTTAACATCGATTCACGGTTACATGAGACAACTCGCACCACTTTTCCTGGTGATTGCTTCCTTTTTTCAATTTGTTTATTTGTACGGATCCATAAATACCTGTCCTTTTTGTTTCAGTGAGCAGTGGGACAGTCACAGTGAACAGTGATTCGTCTATTCAAATTATCACTGAGGAGGCTGCAGCTCTGGACGATTTCGATGCCCGTGCTGTCTCTGAAGGCTTTCATCGGACTCAGTCTGAACTGTCCACCGCACAGACGGACTTGGCCAGAGCAGAGCTGCAGATTGCCCTGGAAGCATACGAACAGTTGAATCAAGCTGTCCTTTCACGAAGTCGCTGATGACTAGTTTACCCGGCATTAATGCTTTCCTAGCTCATATTGGATAATACATGCCAATTTTATTGAGCCGCGCTTTCTTTTGTCACCAGAAGGACACATTTTCACAGTTTTTCCTTACGTTCTATCCCTCTTAATAAATGAACAAATAGTCAACTAAATGGGTATATTTCTCGACGGGCAGGATACGTTCGTTTTTGTGACCTGTTTGCTACGTCGTCACTTCCTTTCTGTTTGATCTTCCCATCACATCCACCTTACGGAACACGGATCACTTACGCTGATGACATTAGCGTTGCGCTAGCATACTGTACGGACGCTTCTTTGCCACGCATTCTTTCGCTGGTTATGGATACTGTGAGGCCCCTACACCCACACCCATTTTCGAACCGGCGACCTGAGGATTACAGACGCCGTATGCGAACCAGTCGTTAGTCTATCTAACAGGGCCCACAATATCATCTTCATACACGTCAGCCGAGGGCGAGACACCTCAGCTAATGTGCCGCAATACAAAAGAGTTAAGGTATTAGACAAAATGGACTAAAAAGCTGCGGAAATGTAACACAGTGCTAAAATCTCATGCATAGGTTTTGTGATCGTTGTTAGAGAGGGGAAGCTAAAGGAGAGGGGGATGACAGAGAGTCACAACACAAACGTCACTGCGGTCTCTTTTGGCCATGTCAGCTAGTGTATCCAACCGAACGCGTTCACCGTCCTTGGGACGCCAGCCCGATAGTTGGGAAACACCAACCGAGGCAAAGTTCGAAGTGAGGGACTTCATTCCTCTTGACCAAGTCACAGCTTGGCTTCCGTTTCCATCCACATCCCGGGTGCGCAAATGACGCACGATGCGGGAGTCGGTGTGCTGACATGCTCAACACGTGGCCCAGTCATTGGGGCCTCAGAGCCCAGACCACACACAAAGAATGATTGTTGCTTCTCTTCCGTCACCGTTATTAAATTTTTTTCAACATTGCATCGGTAACTGGCTAGCAAGGTGGTTATAAGACATGCTCTCCATATCTTCATATTCCCTCTTGCTGGATGTTGCACTTTGTCATGCTGTTTTGCTGCTTTTAAGCGGATGGTCTCAGCAGTGATCGATACGAAGATCGAAGGTCGTGAACCAGATCCCACTTAACTTTTCTGCCGGTCTTTTTCCTGTGGTTTCCTTGGATATAAGGTTTATGGGTGATACTGCGGAAGCCACCTATAGACTCCCTCTGTAGACCCACGCGTCCTGTGGCCGTTGCTATTTTAGTCGACCTGGACCCCAAGCTTGACCAACTCAGTGAATAGCTATCCTTTTCGATAGTGTCGTCTCAAAGTGACTAGTGCTCGCGCTTATAACGACGGCTTTTTACCGGACCTCCTTTTCTCAATTCTTCTTTATAAGCTATCGTTTTTCTGCACGTTCTTAATGAATCAGTCATGATTTTTCTTAGTATAATGACATGCATCGTTGCAATCGAATCCGCCAGTTTGTAGTTAGTTTTATGAACAAAGCTTGCGAATTTTCACAGTCGCCTTAACTGTTGATCCGAATCTGTATTGGGGATTAGCATCATCTTACTGTACCCCAGCTCACTTGTGCTGTGTACGGCAACGGAATATTGGCATTTTTTACGAAGTAAATATGTCTCGCGCTGATCACCTGTGATGAACACTTGAGGCTTCATTTTTAAGTGTTGTTCTGTTTAGTATTGACTTATTTGTTATTGGTGAATCCAATTGAAATACTTCTTGCCTCATCTACACTGGGGTTGCTTCACAGTGTAAACACAATAAACGAAACATATCTAATGGGCACTGCGTACTACGAAACCCATAATATACATACCTTTAGGCAGAGAAATGATAGCCTGGGTCGCTAATAAAAGTAGGTCTAACATTTCAAGCAGTGTTTGAACTTGACCTACTCTCGAAGGAATCTTTCTTTGCACATTTCCGGTTGCCGCTTAAAGGCTGTGACCAGCACTTCGGCTTCCCCTGGCTCAGTTCACAACGACGGCAATACTTAGACTGGCTACCAGCCTGTTTAAACAAGCAGTCATGACGGACTGGTCAACAGCGGATCATCTGCCCTAAAACTGCTACCATCCTATCCCACGCGGATTTCTTCTCGTAGGTCACATCCTGAAACATGAGGTGAACCAGTTATGCACAGCGCTTACACTTCACATTGCCAAATTAACATATGACCCCACCAATCTCACGCTTTTCGCTGCTGGATAGAAAGGCAGGAGATCCCTTTCCGGAATTCCTATCTTTTACCATACCCACGGCAGAATAAGTGATTAACATTAGTGCATCTTTCTCCATAATCTGCACAATTTTTGTCTACCATGAAATACGTCTACTGGTGTCTAAGCACCAGTACACTTGTCTGGTTCGCAAATCCAAATGTACTGAGTATCGGTGGTGTTTGGTCTTGGTGATGCTCCTTGCGCCCTCAGTAACCAACAAACATTGCACGAGTGGCATATTTCGCCTAACCTTGCGCCAGAGTAACAAGGATTAATATACCCATCTGTCTGCCATTTGATTTCTTTCCTCTTCACTTGTTCACCGAATACAATGGTGTTTTTTTCGTGAAAACAGAACAGTAGCTCGGTCACGTATACGGATGTATGCACACGTAACAGCGGTTGTGATACTAAGCCAATCAGAAGTAAGCACACCTTCGTCCAATGACCGTTAAGTGTGGATATGGTTCACGACCAACCAATAGCAATGAGAGAGTAATATTGCAACGTCACAAATGTGTTGTACGTTTTTCGAGCTATGATTCTGCATTGTGTTCCTGTATTCGGGAATCGCATCTAACATTCTGGCACTCTCCCGGCTATAGAGATCTTCATTTAACCGAAAAGGTCACCGCTCGATTGAATGTAGGCCTCAAGTTCACCCACTTTACTACCAGATTCTTCTGAGTTGCTCCACTGTACTTCTTTACTGAGTACTTTGGCTTTGATTCCTTTTTACAGTTTTGATAAATGTCTGTTCTCGCACTGAGTACAGCCATCATATGTTTTCGCTCATCTTCCTTTTCGATCGTACCTCCCTCATTTTACCGTCCATTTACACCTGGAGATGAATGCACGTGAACTCTCAACACGAAGGCTGAACGAAACATATCGCCTTCATTGCATTTAATCTTTACAACTATACATCTGCATAGTAATTGCACAATGAATTCTCAGTAGCTGGCTGATAGCGTAAGCAGCACGGAACAAAATCTGTCAGGCGCACGGATGGCAAACTAACCAGCATTTTGTACAACACATTGACCATACATTTCAGTTTAAACCAATCGATGGGTGGTTGAGTTGGTGTACGGACAAGCTTTTAAATGCAGCCAGTATATAGGAAGTGCACAGCAGTAGTGGCCACGAGGATGCCACCTTCCTCCTCTTTTTGTTGGGACCACTCCAGGTAACCTGTACGGCTCGAACAGTCAGCATAGCCGAGCTGAGCGACAGCATTTCTGAGCTTCCGGTTGACCGGATTTTTGCGTTCCGTACATCTATCAACACGACAGACTGACTTGGGAGTGCGTTATCTGGGGAAATCGCAACAAATCGTAGATGGATGTGTTTTCGACGGACAGTTGAGGAAGTGCTATCACGCCGCTGCTTTTGTTACATTCATCATCGCATTGAGGATGCAATTCGCGCATTCCTAGCGTGTTACCACCAAACACACCCCTGAATGACCGAACTTAGCGTCTGACCATGGGTCGAGTTGGTCAGCAGGCGTCTCACCAACGTATTCACCTTCGAAAACATTATCTTAGGGGCTTCGCACGTGGTAGAAGGGCGACAGAGATTGTAGCTATATAGTCGAGCCTAGAATCATTTTTAGATCGCTTGGTATGTGAAATCTGCCCTTGTCCATAATTTACCATGCATAGTTCATCTCCACCCTGTGGCTTTTACACGACGCAAACTCTTCGATAAACACTGGGAACTGTACTATTGCAGATGAATTAGTTGCTGATCTTCAAATGAACGATGCCTTGGTTATTCACTGCTACAATCAGCTTCACTATACTGCCACTGACTGTAGGCAAGGTGACGTCCGCGAGCGTCCCTCATCTTGGGTTGGCCTACGTCAGTCGCAGATGGGGGTTGAACTTATTCTCAGGAATCTGACTTTCCATTCGTTGCGCAGCTGCACAGGTTCACATATACGCAATACCCGAAAGCCAATGAGGTGACGGGGAACAACTTGATCACCGCCTTTGATCGAAGCAGACGACAATCACGATCAACGCTTACGCTATCTCCCACCGCATACACAATTCGGGCTGCATTAGCCTGACAGCAGTATGACTTGAACGTTGTCCAAACTACTCCATCTTCTGTATTAATACATTGCTGAAGTTATTCTTACAAATTATAGTCTGTGTCCGATTTGATTCGCCAAACGTCCAGTTTCGTTTGCAAAGCGCCCAGTTTACAGTAAAATGGTGTGGCAGGCGCTCAATCAATACCAATAGACGCGCGGCTTGAACACAGGTGGATTAATTAACGTGGCAATGATGCGAGGGTACTCAGTCCTTTTCAGATCACCAGAATGTTATGAATAGGCCAAATTTGCATAAAGTGCAAAAGAGAGTCGAGGAAACGTGCCAATTAAAACTGCGATGCAAATATCAGAAACTAAGATTGAAGAGTTGAACATTAGGCACGATGTATCAACCGTCGTAAATCTTGCGGCTTCGCCGTGTTCATTGATACAGCTAAAAATGCACTCGATCCTGAAAATTATCTAAGCAGCGAGCACATGCCAGATAAGCTCAGCTTCACAGTCAATACTTTTATTGTTTGTCAAATCGTCCGCTAGGCGTCATAGCATACAAAGTACGTCAGCCAATGAACGCTTGTGGTTCAAGTTTAACAGCTGATCCACAGTGAGAGCCGCATTTAGGTCACCAAACCCTAATTAACAAACTGCCGCATCAATCGACGCTCATACTGAATAAAAACAGCAGTACGCAGACACCGACCGCCACGGACATGCTGCTTGCAAGTCTCTTCAGTGCATTGATTACCTTTCTGACT